GAATGCCATTTGCTCCACTTCTTCCCCATACATCTGGTTAATCTGGAGTGAAGCATCTCAGCGCGATAGTAGTTGAAATCCCAGAACCACAGAATCTCATTTTGGCATAGGTAAGCTCAGAAGCCTTGATAAATCTGATCAAAAAGCCATGTAGATGTCTACTCCACAAAAACTATCTGGCATTACCATGTCTCTAAGTTTTTTGACATCAAGAATGAAGTCTCTGAATTTTGTAACAGAGAATATTGCTGTTGTCTCATAGAAGAAAAGACCATTGATTCTTGGATCCCAAGCACAAGCAGCATTTTTATTTGAAGTAGGGGAATATAAACAAGAACCAGATGTCTGCATCTTTCCTTGATGACCCACTACTGGGTAGCCAGTAAAGATCATATTGTTCTTTAATCCATTAGCAACTAGCTTCTTGACTTCCACAAAAGAGGACGCCATGATGCATTTCCCATTCATATTTCTTGTCTTCTCAAATAACTTCTCTGCATTTTCACACACACATATATATATATTGTTAGAATGTTATTTAAAACTATATGATGTTAAAAAGAGTTACTCAACAAATATATAGCTACTATAACATGTAATCGAGTTAGAATTATAACTCTTAGCATATATAAACTAAGCAAAAGATAATAATTATTGTTTGCAGCTTACCAGTTGCTCTGACAGACTTGGTGATTCCGATTAAATTGGCTTGAAATCCAAGGAAGTCATTGACTCCACTGCCAATAGTGTTCAACGGAACTCTGTAATCGTATCTATATACAACCTTTTGTCTTGATGGATACCACGTAATATCCCCGAATTCATATTTTTTTGCATGATCTATGAATGTATCCTCAAGCACACCATCATCCGTAAAGTCATAGGTTATGCTTCTTTTGAATCCTGCCTCTAATGCCAACTTCACCTATTAAATTCATACACATATTATCAAAACTCACCATTTCGTTTACCCACCAAGTCACATGCACTTCATTTTACTATTGGTTTTCAATTTATCTCACACATTTTATGTAGCTTATTTTGTAAGTCAATTTTTTATATTCATTTTTTGACCTGTTAAAATAAAATTATCAAAAGTTAAAAAAAAAAAATTTCAGGCGAACTCTTAACAAATTATAAATCCATGGATCCAGCATATTTCAAGCAGTCACGGATGCCATGCTTATCTACCTAATTTCGTGTTTTTAGAAGTTTTTGCCGTTGAAATTTAAGGGTATATTCAAACTTCTTTATTTCCAAATATTTTTATAGATTAAAAATTTTAGATGAACTATTTAAGCATTTCACGTGATATTCAGAATCTGATAAATTAATTTAATTTAATTTAAAGTAGATGGGACCATAAATCATCAGCCATCTAGCTTAACCAGAAAGAAAAAATAAATAAAAATAAATAAATAAATAAATCAAATTAACTTTACCTTAGAGATGATACCCAACTCCCCTAACGACACCTTGGCTGCGTTAAGGAGTGTATTTTGCGCTTCAATTCTGATAACCTTTGCAAACCCTTGTGACTCTTCGGCAGGGACGACCAGGCTAAGGCCAATAACATGATCGTGAACCGCTCCTCCTTTTCCCCACCACGAGCTCCCGTGAGCTCCCGTGCTTATCAAACCCCCAATACTCACACCTTCCCAGTACGGCGCCGCCACCAGACTCAGCCCCGCCTCCTCCACTTTGTCAATCAGCTGCCGTAAAGAAACTCCAGCATCAACCGTCACTGCCAAATTCGCCGCATCGATTTCGATTTTGGAATTGTATTCTGCTGTGCTTACGAGCATTGCCGATGAAGTTGCGGGGCAAGCCAGTTTTGGTATGGTGTGCGAGAATTTGGTCACCACTTTCAGCTTGAGATTGTTTTTGTTGGCGTAGGCGACAGCTAGGCGGACCTCTTCTTCGGTTTTTGGATATACGACGTCGTTCTGGACATGGCAGTTCCTTCTGTCTCCCCATACGCCGTAAGCGTTGTAGAGGGTGCATACGGTGTCGTTGCATTGAACTGGCGGGAGTGGTGGCATGGCTGAACCCAGCTGCCATGGCGTCAGACCCACAAACCCAAGGATAAAGAACCAAGCGTATAAAAGTTGATACATCGAGGCAAATGGTGATGATTTCAGGGCTCGGGTCCTGCTTATATTGGTTGGTAGGTGTATATACGAACATATATATATATATATATATAAGAGTGTTTATATATGCTTTGAAGCTATAAAAAGAAGGATATAACTTGGATTGTACCTCAAGGCAGATGGAAATAGGTGAGAATAGATCCTTTGTGCTGGATTTTTTGTGGGCTACTGTTTATATTTCCGTCCATTAAGGTTCTTTTATTTTAAGAGTTTTTAAACTTATCTCAAATAAATAAATAAACGATAAAAAAAAAAAACCAGCCAAAATTAAAAATAAAAACAAAAATCTACAAAATTTGGCACTAAATCTTTTTTATTTTGTTTGGTATCCAAATTAAATATTTTTATTTTGTAATAAGAAAGGCCTATGATTAGATTATAACACAAAATTCTTATCCAAGTATTCAAGTGTTTCATCTAAAATATAATTTTACTTAAAATGGATATAACCTAATTAATATAAATATATATATATATTTTTTTAAAATGTAAGTATATTCTACTAAATTTGGACTAAGTTGACTTCTAAAAGTAGTACATGATATTAATGGTTCAACTTGTATGGTTCAATTATTTTCAGATCCAGCCTATGAGCTCGTACTATATATATATATATATATATATATATATATATATTCAAAATAAAAGCATGTAATAATTTATATGCATTTACACATATTTAACCATTTCTCAAAAAATGCATAATCTAACAATTTAAAACCAACTTATCTTTTCATAAAACTTTAATTTAATGTATTAAGAATATATCTATTTTTGAGTATATATTTATATATAAATTAAATATTAAACATATATATATGTATATAGTGTATAGAGTAAATTACAAATTTTTGAAGTTAATATAGAAAAATCGCCATATATTTTACAACCGAATAGAAACTACATATTCTACATACTTCAAAGATTAATATACTCTTGAATATTAATTTATTTAAATAATAACTGACATTAATAAAATTATTATCTAAAATTATTTATTTAAATATTAAAAATTATTTAAAAATAATTCTCTCCATATCACATGCGGGAAAAAAAATTTAAATAAATTATTTAAAAATCACTACAAGAGAAAAGGGTCTTTTCGTCGTTGTGCAGCAGCAATTAACGACGCGGATTTTGAAATTTTTTTTTTAAATATCAAGACTTAGTTAAAAAAAAAAAACCCCTAATTTCATTTCACCCAAACCTCTCTCTCATTGCTTCAACGTTTTCCAAGCCGCACAATCCGTTTGTAGCTTCACCATTCCTTAGACATTGATGAACCTACTTCTTGGGCGGACGAATGTCCTGTTTTTGTAATACCTGAGTTCAGGATTAATTTTAATAATTTAAAAATAAATAAAAATTTATTTATAAATTAATTTAATTTAATTTTGTTGAATTTATTTAAAAAATATGTTAGAAATATAATAAAAAATAATTTTGAAAAAAAAAATAAAAATTTGGATTTGTTTGATATTTTTACAAGAAAAATTAAAAACAGAGAGTTAAAGTACAAATAAAAAAATTGTGTCATGCATGACTACCCAGTCAATAATCTCGAAGAACCGGAGCACGCTGCATGGTAAGGCACGCTGACGTCGGTGCCACGCGGGCAATCCGTGTGTCCGTGATCAGACGGCCCATGATCGATCTCATGCGCGTGGACAACTTGAATTTGTTCTCCCCTTAAGTATGATCGGACGGTTGAGATCAAATCGTGATGAACGACTCAGATTTATTTTTTCTTTAGGCACGATCGGACGGATGAGATCAATCGCGATGGACGGCCCATATCAACACAAGATGGATATAAATACTTCACATCACACGAGAACTTAAATCCTAGTTGCCAGCCCCTACTGGAGAAGAAGAATCAAACACCGAAGAAGAAGGCTGACCGTCGACCGTCGCTGCACCGGAGCCACCGTTAACTGCAAAAAAAGATAAAAATTCTACATACCTGCTCGGAATTCGATTCCAAGCACCCTTGTGGCCAAATTGGAGCAAAATAGATGGGGGTAAGCCGAAAATTGCAGGCAAATTCCGGCGGAGCCGCCATAGCCAAGACTTAAAATCCCTTCGATGAGCCCCTTCCCCATTTTTATTTTATATAATTTTTAAATCATTGTGTTTAGCGTCATTTGCTGTACAGGTTAGCCAAAGAAAGAACCTCAACTACGAAGGAGGACCGGCAGAGCCGTCGTACCTAGAGGTCCCCCTACTTATAGGTTCATTTTTTGTGATTTCCTGGCCAACCGAGGCCCCTAACATATTTTTCTGCAGGGATATGACCACAACTGGTCAAAACTGGCCAAAACATGCTAAAATCAGTTAAAACTGGCTAAAACTAGTCAGGCCGAGGTAAACTGCCGTCATGGACAGCAGAGTCGGTGCTGGAGCAGGGCGGTGTCGCCGTGCCGGAACCCAAAAATTGATCAGAATGAGTTTTGGACACTGATTTTGGATTTCTGGGATATTTTATGTATGTGACGAGTGTTTTGGATTCTATAGAAAAACTTCAGAAAGCCTAGTACCTAATAGAAGGTGTAGTAAACAGCTCGACATCTCGGAACACCGATCTGGATAAAGATCCTTCACTTTATTCTCTATTACGGTAAATTGAGACTTAATGATGTATAATTTCGTATTTTTATAAAAAATTAGAAAACCCTAAAAATAATTATAGGTTACTAGTGGAGACAAAACCGGTTAGTTCATTTTTTTTTCTGATTCTCTGTTTATTTTTATGTACTTCCAAAATTGTTTACTATTACATTGTGCATGGTTACATTAATAATTTTTATAGTCTTCTCGATTTTTTGGGTTATTTGGTCCATTTTTACATGATTTATCTGGTTATTTGATTACTCGGTTATTGGTTATGATAAGTTAAATCACTTACTTAAAAATCGTTTTATTGATATGTGAATATACAATGAGATATTAGAATTATGATCAGTTGTTATATTGATGAAAATTTGTATGTGAAAGACTTACTGGATACCCGGAAAAGGACGAATGGGTCCGGTACATAGGAAACCCTACTGTGAACGTTACCTCAGTCGAATGGGATTGGAAAATCTCTTACTATTAAGGTTTGAGAGATATGGTTCACCTTATTATCGGACGAGATATCGAGGTAGTGGAATGTTTGGCGCTCATTACCGAATGGAGTATGGGGACGATCGGTAATTATTTAAATTGGATATTGGGTTCATGAGTAAGGAGACATCCTTATGGACCCTAGAGGTATCAGTAAGTGAATAAAAATGAAAAGTTATCGTCTCTTGTTATCTTATATGTGAAAATAAAAAGTGTAGAAATATGGGTCTTCATAGGTTATTTTTGGAAAAACTCGTTACGTAGATACAGAATAAATGACTTTCTTTATATTAAAAGAATTTACATCAAATTAAGGGCTCCATTAGTTATTTTTATGATTTTTACCAATATTCAGTTTTTTATATCTGTTATTAGTGTGATATTCTTACTGGGTTAGTATAGTTTACCTTTTCATTAAGTATTTCAAATCAAGAGGATCAAGATCCAGATTCTGATCAACAAGAGGGTTGTGAGTAATTCACTACTTGGATTCCCTTCAAGTACTAGTGAAGGTCGTCCTTGAATATTTTAAATTATTATGTAAGAAATGTAAATCCTTACTCTATTAATCGCTTTCACATTTAATTTGTGAATTTATTTCTATTTAAATTTTGAGTCTTTACAGTTTTTCTAACACCCAAAAATGGTATTTTTATTATTTAATTTATTTTAATTTTTATTAAAAATTTTGTTTAATTTTATTCTATTTTAATATTTAATTTATAAGGTTTTAATTTAATTTAATAGAAATAAAAATAATAATAATAATAAAATATGGTAAAATTATTTTTGGGATTTAATTGAAATTGATTTTGGAAAAAATGGGTGAAAATTTAGATTCTGGGGGTATTTTTGAAAATAAAATCAAAAATTAGGGGTCAAAACGCAATTTAAAAAAGTTGTGCCACGTCAGTAGCTACATTAGTAGCCCAGTCAGCAGCCATGGCCAACCAGAACACAACGCATGGTAAGGAAGCTGACGCAGGAGGCCACGCGGGACGGAGCCACGTAAGCGATCCGTGTGCACGCGATCGAACAGTCCAGATCTCACGCGTACGGACGGTCCAGATCTCACGCGCACGGACGACCCATATCTCACGCGTGCGGACGACTCAGATTGAATCACGCACGGACGGCCCAGATTGAATCACGCACGAACGGCCCAGATTTATTCCCATTTTAATCGCGATCGGACGGTTCAGATTAAATCGTGATGGACGGCTGAGATTAAAAGGGAAAGGTTATAAATAACCTCACCCACACCCAACCCCAAACCCTAGCTGCCAGTACCCTCGCTGGAGAAAAAGAACCAGTCACCGGAGGAGCCGGCCGTCGCCACCCGCCGCCGCACCGGAAGATTTTTCGACCGCCAAACGAGGTAAATTTTCTCCCCTTGGCTTGTTTTTCAATGCTGAATCTGCCTATGGCCAAATCGGAGCCAATCCATTGGCCAATCGGTCGAAAAACAGTGCCGAAGTCTAGCGGCACCGCCGCGACTTCCTTCGATTTTTGCCTCCGATGAGGTCCTTCCCGGTTCCTGTTCGATGCAATTTTTACACCATTGTGATCACCATCCTTTTCTCTACAGGTTGACAAGAGTAAAACATCAAATCGCGACTCGCACCAGAGAAGTCGCCGCACCCGAGAGCTCCGCCGCCGGTAAGTTTCAATTTTTCGTGATTTTTTAGTCCACCGAGGGCCTTAGGATTGTTTTATCGCAGGAACCAATACAAGTTTGGTCGAATTCGACCGAAAACGGCAATCCACCTCGGGTGGCGATGCCGTCGTCGGAGCACGGCGGAGCTGCCGTTCCGGAATTTCAATATTGGCCGAAAAAGGGCCCGAGTCTGATTTGGAAATTTTTGGGACACATGCAGGTACCGGTAGTGTATTTCAGTTTTTCGAGAAAAATTCAGGGAATTTAGGGGCGGTCTGTAGGCGCAGTGAGAACCCGATTTCAGACCCCGAAACAAGTAAGGATTTCTCACCCTATTTTCTATCACGGTATTAAAGTTCAATAAATGATAAACCGATATTTCATGAATTGTGTATAATTAATTAAGGTTGCTAATGGAGCCCGAATCTGATGTATTTTTCGATCAGTTGTTGTTTGATCTATTTTATAATTTAAAATGAAGTATGGTATCTGATGTATTTATTTTATGATTTCGTATGCATGAATCACGGTTTCGTTTATTATGGTTTGAATTATTGGGAGCCCGTTGTTGTCTTGTTTGGTGTTCATTACTGGTTTACGTGTTTATGTTTGATTGAATAATTGAGACCGATAAAAATCGAAAAAAGGTATGTGAATTGATAAATGGATGATGTCGACAACCTAACTAGATATCCTGGGAGATGGTGGACGGATCGGGTCCGTAGGGAACCCTACCGTGAACGTGGTCTCTCATATCGAACGGGATATGGAGACCTTATGTGTTTTGGCGCCCATACCGGACGGGGTATGGGGATGGCCCGTTTCACCCTCATATCGGACGAGGTATTGAGGTTTATGATTTTTTGCGCCTATATCGGACGGGGTATGGGGACGACCCTAGAATTAAGTTATTAATGTGAATGGTTCACGTGTAACGGAGACCCCTATGGATCCCCATGGATACTAGTAGGCTGATAAAAGAGAAAAAATTTGTTTTATGATGATTGAAATGCAAATGTATGATATGTGTTATGTTATAAAGTGTGTATGATTTCATGATATTATAAGGTTATTATTTTCTTATGTTATTTTCATGAAGCTCACCGAGGTAAGTGGACAATAAATGATTTTATTATTGATAAATGAATTTATCATGAATTATGCTCCATTGGTTGTTTTTGTTTTCTACCAACCTTTACTTCTGTGACAGTGAGATAGTGTGATGTCTTTACTGGGCTAGTGTAGCTCATTCATTACTTAATCATTTCAGATCAGGAGGATTTAGTTCCCGAGCCCATCCCGCAGGAAGACGGCGAGTAGACGCCTAAGGATTTCATAGTTTTATTTATAGCATTTATTACTAGTATTTACCTTAATTTATTCTTTTACACGTTGAATACTTTTTTGGTTATTGTGTAAGGGATGTTAATCAGAATATTTATTTCGCTTCCGCACTTAGAATTTTTAATACAAATATTTTCTTTTAAATTTTCGGGGTCGTTACAGTCTTAGCCTCCGAACATAATCGTCATCATCGATTGCGACTCCTCTGTATTGTCGTTGACTTCGACTCCATTTTTTTCTTCCTCTACATCTCTCCAAATCTCTAGTTGAAAGCTTAATGTTTGCTAATGCTTGATTTATCTTCGACGAATTTATATGGATCTCCTCGTGATGAGAGTTTGGATCCAACAGAATGAACCAAAGTGGCTCTGTAGAAGAGAACCTCGTATTTCTACATATTATAAAGGAATAAGAGGCAACATAGAGGGATTTATTAGAGACGATGGAGAGGAGAAAAGAGAAAAATATGAGTTTTTATTATTTTATTTTTTAAATAATTTAACTACTATTTTATATAAAATAAAATAAAAATATATTATTTAGTTCATATCTAAGTGAATGTACGTCAGATGTTACGAGTACAAAATTTTAACGGGGTTTAGTTAAAATTAAGAGGTAACTAAATAAATTTTAAAAGTATAAGGATCAAAATATAAACAAAATTTCTAAAGGGGCTGATTTATATAAATTCGAATAGTACAGGGTTCATCTCAATATTTATTCCTTTTTCTGATCAATTCTCATCAACCAGAGAACCCTACTAAAACAAATCATAAGTTTACCTCCTGGATTGAGCTTATCGAAGAGTCGTAGTAAGGGTCGATATTATCAATGGCCCTCCAGACTGACTTTATTGCTGGAGCTGAAGCGGAGAACACTCTCCAGTCTATCTGCTACAAGCGCGGTTCCCTTCAGCTACTCGACCAGGTTCCGCTCTATCTGTCTCTCATCCATTTCAAATTAGCTTTGCTTAGATATGTTCACTTGAATAAGTCATGATAGATGAATTTGTCACTAAGTGACTTCATGTACAAACCAATTTTTGCTCACCAGATAATGGGAATAATGCCTACATAGAGAAGCGAAGCTTTGTAGGAGGAAAAATGTTACTGGCAGCTTTTTCAATCGGGACTTAACTGTTGATTGTTTCTCTTAATTCAATAATGATTTATTTATTCTTTTGAACAGAGAAAGCTTCCTTTGGAAATTACTTACTTGGATATTCGAGATGCATCAGATGGATGGTAACTTGTTCTGGCTCCCTCTCCTTTCGGTACTTATTGTCTTTTTTTTTATTTTTATTTTGCTTCGTCTTTTTCTTGTCTATCTCTAACTCATTTTTAGAAATGGAACTCTTCTTTGTAAGAATAAGAGGCCAATTAATAATTTATTAGATGGATCCGTTAGATTTCCTTGAGATTTCAATTAGGGCAGTGGGATTGTCTTCCATTAAAATTTGGACTGTGTTGATATATACAATGTGTTTATGTGTTTGAGCGCCACTATGCGTGTAACATTATGTATATATGTATGTATATATGCATGTAAACACGTATAAGTTGATATATGTACATATCAGTTGTATTATATATTCATATATATGCATATATATGGGTATGTGTTCGTATAAATATATATATATATATATATAGGAATCATAGTAAATATGCATGTTATACATATATTTCTTCTAAAATATTGTTTTTCATGTACTATTACGAATGTTTGTACCATAAACACGCATGTGCATATGAAATGGAAGTTAGAAATTCTTTTCATGTGCCAATCAGATTTTTGGGTTTTAAATTTCAGCACATGCTCTGCAATTTTTGTTACTCAGCATTTGCTTCCTTTGTAAGTGATTTAGGATAAATTAGGGTTGAGTTGCTTGCTTAAGAATCTAGGGGAAAACCTAAACATTACACTAGTGTTCTTAGGTATCATGCCTAGGATTTGACTAAATCACACAATAGGTATTGAGAAATTCTCAAATTAATTTTAAATAATTGAATGATAATCTCAAAGGAGATTAGAATGGTATTTGTAGATCCTTTTCCAAATAAGATTAGACTAAAAAATACTGATATTAGATAAGAAAGCAAAACATAGATAAACTTAGAAACATAAAAATAACCTTCTCTCAATTAGTAAGTTCCATGAGTAAATTTCACATGCAAATCAACCAAAATATGCAATATTTGAGTGCTATGCTACTTGGTGTTTAGGGTTGCTATACGAGATATGGTTGTACGTGGGGCACCTGCCATTGCTATCGCAGCAGCCCTCTCCTTGGCTGTAGAAGTGTTTAACTTTGAAACTTTCAGCGGGACATCTGAGGATGCTGCTTCTTTCCTTGTTAAGAAGTTGGAATATCTTGTCTCGAGGTATTTTATCTTACTACTTAGTAGTCAAGTTTTTATGACAAATATAATTTTCTTTTCACTTCCGTATATTTTATTCCCTTATGGTGATGAGGAACGTATGTTTATTTTATTTGTTCTCATGATCAGCACCTGCATTTGCTATTACGTAACCTTTGACAGCAAATGCACAAAGCATTGAGAAGCCTATTTGAAAAAATTTACCAATCTATACTTTTCCTTGAATAGATGAAGTTAATCCACTCTTCTGACTTCAGGCATGAGAAAATTTTCATGTATGTTACAAACTCAAGGTTGGCCAATATGAGTGATCCACAAAATATCAATATTGTTGTTTGGACCTGCTAAACCTTTTCCTTTTTATCTAGTATTTTCTTCAGAAAAAAAAAATATAAAAAATTGTTAGAATACTTAACTTATATTGTTGGAATTCTTAATATATGGTCGAACTTATTACTTACTCTGAGCTGTTTAATCAGTAACTAATGGTTACCATGTTTCTCCAGTCGACCAACTGCAGTGAATCTTTCTGATGCTGCAACAAAACTTAAACAAGTTGTAATGCAAGCTGCTGATACTTCTTCAAAGCATGAGGATGTTTTTCAGGTAATGTAACTGCTGATTGTGGTTGTTTCAGTTTGCATATCATTGCCGTAAAATCTGTTTTAGTGCTTACTGCAGTAAATAGTAGCACAATGGCCTCCCTTTAGTTAATGATTTGTTTTTGTTCATTTGGAAATTGCGGCAACTCCTGTTGCTAATCTTCTGAATTACTTTGCTTTCTCTATCCCTCTTGTAGGCTTACATACAAGCTGCCGAGATTATGCTCAAGGATGATGTTACTTCAAACAAAGCAATTGGGTCTTATGGAGCAAATTTCCTTCGGGACCATGTGAAACATTCTCAGCAGCTATCTATCCTGACCCATTGCAACACTGGCAGGTGCCCATCTTCTTTTTCCTATTTAGTTTATTATTGAAATGATTTTATCTCTTGTCCACCTCCTAGCCGATCCATGATTATGTTTCATGATTCTTTCACATTCTACTCATTCAGATTCCAGAAGATGGTTTTGAACTCTTGCAGAAACTGAACTAGCAGTTCATTCTAACTATGACTCAATCTTTTTTTCCCAGTCTTGCAACTGCTGGATATGGGACCGCCCTTGGTGTAATCCGTGCAGTTCATGCTGAAGGAGCACTAAAAAGAGCCTACTGCACTGAAACTCGTCCATTCAATCAGGTAACTATTTAGATTCTTGTTCTTAAATGTATACGGGTGGTATTCTTTTGGTTCTTTGTGCATAATAATACTTAGTTTTTATTTAAAAAAAAAAAAGATTTTTGTTCTTAAATATTTTTGACAGTCTAATAGGCACTAGAAAAATTGAGTAAGGCTGTGCTCATAAACCTAATGGGTTTAGTCCGCATATGAATCCATTTGCTTTAGACCATGGATGCAAGTGCAACAGCGCTAGCCCATACAAGCACATCAGCATATCACAGTTGCCTGAGCCTAATGAACATTATGCTTTGGTGGCCAGGTAGTTGGCAAATAGGGGAAACTGTTAAGGGTAAATTTGTCCCTGAGAATAGCTGGGAATCAACACATGATAATAGTGGCAAAATTTAATGATGGGGAAGTTTTCTGATTTCTGCTGTTGATTGCAGTGTTCACTATGTTGGGTAGAGCAGTAGATGGTTGATTTTTTGAAAATTCTAACTTCCAGGTCCAGATGTAGGGGTTGGGATTGACTTTTGATAATGTTGAGTAAATGTGGCTGGGCTATAATTTAAGTTATTTTTATCAGGCATTTCAATTGGTCTTGTCTTGTTACACAACTTTTTGTATTTCAGAAGAATTGGTCCTTGACATCATGCACGGTAGTCATCAGTCTTTATAGTTAACCATGCATGGTAGTTATCAGTCTGTATATTTAACCATAGGTTGGTATCGTAATATGTTTGACTGTAAACACAGGGATCTAGGCTCACCGCGTTTGAGTTGGTTCATGATAACATACCTGCTACTCTCATAGCAGATTCTGCTGCTGCTGCATTAATGAAAAATGGCCGCGTAGATGCTGTCATTGTTGGAGCAGATCGAGTGGCTGCTAATGGTGCTTAATGCAAATGATAAGTTATCTGCTTTGAGGTTCTAATTGTAGAAAGCACCTCTAACCATTTTGTATAACTACACGCAGGTGATACTGCTAATAAGATTGGAACTTACAGCCTTGCCTTGTGTGCAAATCATCATCAAATTCCATTTTATGTTGCTGCACCACTTACCTCTATTGACTTGTCCCTTTCTTCTGGAGAAGAAATTATTATAGAGGAAAGATCTGCGAAGGAATTATTGAACACGCATGGAGGATTAGGGGAACAAATTGCTGCATCTGGAATTTCCGTGTGGAATCCAGCTTTTGATGTTACACCTGCCAATCTGATAGCTGGTATCATCACAGAAAAGGTTTTTCTCCAAATACTAGGCCATTAATTATGTGTTTCTTTTTCACAACTGCATAAATGTCTTAAGCTTGTTTTCTTCGATCAGGGAAAACTTGAGCTACTCTTATGTCCTCTTTGTGCAGGGTGTTATCACGAAGATGGGGAAGGATGCTTTTGATATAAAGAACTTTGTTCAGAATGCAACTCAGCAGACATTTGTATAAACAGTACTTCTCAAATGCGGCAAGACTTGACAAGATATTTATGACAAGTGACCTCGATTATGATGAACACCAGTTTTTGCTGTAAGTCGGAAAAACTTGAGGAAGCGTGTATGTGGTTTGATATATTCTGCTAAACTTAACTGGATATAGTGAGAGTTGTTTTCGTTGAATGGAAAATTTTCATGGAGTTGAGCACTTGCATATAATTGGTTAAGCAACTGCCACAATTCATGAAATAATATCTGCTGCTGCAAATCCCATTTCTGACTCGCGGTATGCCCATTCTGTTATTATTATTTTATTCTAGATAATTGGAAAACAAGTTATTTGTTGAGAAAGGATCTATTATATGAGTGTGAGTGTGCGTGTGCGTGTGCGTGTGTGTGTATAGCCTGTATGTAGGGAGAAATTGATATATCTTTTGCTCAAAATGACCAGGCTGCAGCTTATATAGCCGGGTTAAGTAGCTAAAACATCTTAATAATGACTTGTTATAATAATCTAAGTTTAGTTAATTAAAACTATTAACAAAAATCAAAATCTCCAAAATACCGCAATTCCATTTACTGACTATTTTTATTAACTATACAAGGACTCGGAAGGCCTAACAACATACTCCCCTGAAGGCTTGAAATACTTGGTTGTGTGATTAGCATGCACAAGAAAAAGTAGTGTCCCATTTTCCTAATTTACACCCAACACTTTCTCGTCACATAACTTTCTTTTAGATTTGGACCTAAGCGCAACAATAGTCTAATGCCACGACATTGTAACCCCTAGCATGATGGTTAGGAACTTTACAATGCCATATATTCATGAATAATACAAGGCTAACAATAATAAACGCGAACAAAGAAATTAATAGATGGTAAAAATTATTCTATTAGTAATTTAAAACCCAAAATAATTCTCTCCAAATGATAATTCTCTATCCTAAGATCTGAAATATATTATCTGATGATATTAAAAATTAAAAAAATATGTAGATAGTTGATATTAAATTCTAACCAACACACTCCAAAGTTTGTTTGTGCAAAAGTCTCTTGTTTAAAATCTAAAAAAGAAAAATAATAATTTATAAGCTCCACCGTCTTAATGGAATCAATATTTTAAAATTAGTTGTTGCTATGCAATAATAATAATAATAATACATAAAACTCTGACAAATACAAATACTAAAAATAGATTTTCTCACTCTCAACTCACATTTTTTATATATGTTCTTTCTAAAAATCTATTTGTAACGGTTCCGGAAATTTAAATGAAATGTATGTATTAAAAATTTCAAATGCGGAAGCGTAATAATAAAAATTTGATTAACATCCCTTACACAACAACCAAAACGTACTCAAAACATGAAGGAACAAACTAACTGAAAAATATACTCGAAATAAGAACTATAAATATAACTATGAAGTCTTTAGGCGTCCCCTTCGCCGTTTTCCTGCGGAACGGGTTCGGGAACGACGTCTTCTTGATCTGAAATGGTTAGATAAGTAATGAGCTACACCAGCCTAGTAAAGACATCATACTATCTCACTGCCACAGAAGTAAAGGTGGGCAGAAAACAAAAATGACCAATGGAGCATAATTTATAACAAACTCGTTTATTAACATAAAAACCTTTACTGTCCACTTATCTCGGTGAGATCCATGAAAACAACATATGAAAGCAATAACATTATCATCATCATTAAATCATATAGACTTTATAACATAACACTTACCACGCTTTTGCATTTCAATTATTAAACAACATATTTTCCTCATTTACCAGCCTACTAGTATCCATGGGGATCCATAGGGGGTCTCCGCTACCCGTGAACCATTAACATTACAACCTGATTCCAGGGCCGTCCCCATACCCCATCCAATATGGGCGCCAAAATCATGAACCTCAATACCCCGTCCGGTATGAGGGTAAAACGGGCCGTCCCCATACCCTGTTCGGTGTGGGCACCAAGACACATGTCTCTATACCCCGTCCGGTATAAGAGACCGCGTTCCCGGTAGGGTTCCCTACGGACTCGGTCCGTCCACCATCTCCCAGTATATCTAGTCAGGCTGTCTACATTATCCAACTTGCCTTTTTTCTTAATCTCAATCATCCAAATCATACACAACATGTAAACCAGTAATTGACACCAAACAAGACAACACAGTATCGGGTTCACCATAATACAAACTATAATAAAAGAAACCATGATTCATGCATACGAGACCATAACATAATTACATCAAACATCATGTTACATTTAATACTGAAAATTAGATC